GCGTGGGGTTGCAGCCCGCAGGCACTCCAGTGACCGGTGCTGGCTGGGGCGGCCAAGCGCAGAGCGCAGGCAGCACGGTGCGGGCGCATTGGGCTGAGGGTGGACACGAGCATCGTGCATGGGCGTGTGGCGGTAAGAGACCTGCAACGGCCTGCTGGTGGCCTGAGCTAAAACTCTGACTTTGCAGGTGTTAGTGCTGATTACGGCTGTACATTGACGTTTTGCTTTAAGCATGTTATATTATTTAAATATGTTATATGAATGAATATAGTTAAATTGGCATTGTGTCACAATTACTTGTGTGCAGATTTACCCAAAGGCCTTTGCAGCAAGTTAAAAATCAGACTGTTGCTAAAGAGCACCTGGACCGTGTTATAACGAGACGTGTTAGGCAGCTAGCAAAAACCTGGACGGTTTCTCTATCCTGAGCGTTCTGGGGGCCGAAGACGACAAGAGAAGAGTCTGCCCTCTCTCGGTCTCTCTACCTCTCTTTTTATGGCCAAGTCAAGTAGTGGATTTTACTTCTGCTGCGTTCAAAGACCCCCAGAAAAAATCTGCCCAGTTTGGCCAGTTTTTCGTAGTCCGAGGGTAAGGAAACTCATACAGTGAGATACTGCCCCATGCTACCGTTGTCCTCAGCTGGAGGGGGCGAACGCCAGCAAAGAGGAAAGCGGTAACGGAGCTGTAGCCATCGCGGTGACCTGACTAAGGAATTAAGCGGAGCAAATGTTAAGGGGGAGGTGACATCTTTTTTTAGACCAGGTAATACCGGTGAAATATAGAAGGTGTGTTGTTGCCTTTTTGAAAGGGCTCAAGGACTTATCGTTGTCCTCTGTCCTTAATAGTTGTTTTATTAAACGTTTTACCTCTACCTTAAAACTTTTCCTAGAATAAAGAGAAAGAGTAACAGAAAACATAGATGAGTGAAGAAATGATATCCTGAGTGAAGAAATGATATCCTCTTCAGAGCTTTCACGATGGATATTAATAGTTATTACTTTATCAGGCTAGCGTTGGACCCTGTAGTTTCAGAAAAGTAAGTGTTAATAAATTAGTACCTGACTACAGTCTGAGCGCTGCATTCTTTCCGTGTTTGCCGTGAGGGAGGATGCGCCGTGGCCCGCGGGTGCCGGTGGCTGCAGCAGAGCCGCGGGGCAGGC